CCCCCCCCCCCCCCCCCCGCATCCGCCCCTCGTGTTCTTTCGCACCTGCTCACTTTGGCCCCTCCTCTGGGCCTGGTCCCGGCCGCGCCTGGCCCCGTTGCCTGTCATGCCTCTTCAAGGCAAGTCAGCCGGGCTCGCCCTGATGCGCATCTCCCTCCTGCTCCTGTCGCTGTTCCAGCTGGCCTCGGCAGCCGCGGCGCCGGTTATCTGCGGCGCCGGCTTCTGCGACCAGCTTGCCGGAGCATCTGGCGCCGGGGCCCCCTCGCCAGCATCGGATGCCGAGATGGATGCCTTCGCGCGGCCCGGGACCCTGCCCAGCTTTGCCATCCAGTCGAGCCGCCCTCCTTTAGGCCGGGCCGCCCGCCCCGATGTGCCCGATGGCGACTGGCCCCAGCCCGCGGTGGGCTCCCTGCACTCGCCCTTCCTGCCGCACCACCGGGCCCAATTCTCGGCCAGCTCCCCGTCAGTGGTGCCGTACGACTCCGGGCGCGTGCTGCGCCGAGCGGGACTGGGGGCGGCCGGGGCGGCCCGCGCCCGCCCGCACACCCGGCGCGACCGCGAGCCGGGCACGCGCGGCTCCCATGCCCCGAGCCACGGCCACCCCCCACCCGGCAGTAAGTCCATTCTCATTTGGCCGAAGGGTGCGCGCGGCCCGATCGTCAGCAGTGACCCGGTCGCCGCGCAGCCCTTCGAGCCCGTGCAGGCATATGGTCCACGGGCCACGCCCCCCGCCAGGGCGAGTTCCCCTGAGGGCCATCGAACACGGCGCTCGCTTCCTCGTGGCGAGGAAACCATGCGCACGCATGATTTCTTCCTGCTCGGCCCCGATGGCTTGATTCGCCGTACGACCCGCCTCCCCCCACTCTCGAATGCCTCCGGCCGCTCTTCTTGCCACACCCCCCCCGCCCCCCCTCTCGTCGACGCTGACTCGGCTCATCCTCGACCCGCCCTCCCCGATGCAGGGATCTTCCCGAACGCCGGTCGCCGGGGTAAGGAGCTGACCCCCGGCGAGGGCGCGGAAGCGCAACAGCCGGCCAGCGTGGCCCCGGTTCAGCAAGTCAAGGACACCATCGCCGACCATGGGGCGACCTACGGGCAGCAGCCCCAGCAGCACTACCAGCCCCCGCCAATGCCGCCCACCGTGCCGGGGTATCCGGGATCGGGCTCCGCCCCGCCGAACACCCTTCTCGGGCCGCCGCTGGTCCCGCCGATGCCGCAACCCATGGTTCCGGGCGCCGTGCCCCGGGCAGCTCGCTTTGTCGGTGTGCCGGCCGAGCCGCCCCCGTCCCTGCCACCCGGGGCCTTGCCCCCCGGGTCCCTGCAGCCGAAGCTGATGGCCAGTCCCTCGCCGCCTGCCGATCGGCCGGGCCCGGGGAAGCTGGTCAAGGTGCTGGTGCCGGCCAAGCCCAGTGCCCCTCCCAGCGTCCTGCCGCCGGGCTCCGCCACTCGATCTCCGAGCAAGCCCACCAGCCAGCCTGCTCAGCCTGCCAAGCAGGGCAGCCAGGCCGGGCAGCCGGTCAAGCCCACCGGCCAGCCGAGCAAGCAAACCGGCCAGCCGAGCAAGCAGTCTGGCCAGCCAAACAGGCAGCCAGGCCAGCCGAGCAAGCAGATCAACCAACTTGAATCGCCAAGCAAGCCCATTCGCCCCTCTGGACAGCAGCAGCAGCAACAGCAGCAGCCGCCGCCGCCGCCGCCGCCGCCGCCGCCATCGTCGCCGCCACTCGACCCCACCAGTGGGAGTCCCCCCGGCCGGCAGTTTGCCCCGGCCGATCCCCCGGCACATGGCCCCCGGGCCGGCAACGGCGAGGCAACCTGGCAGGACCCCGCGGACTTTGGCGGCTCCGGTCTCGACTGCAGTCACACGGCCACCCTTGCCCGGCGGCGCACGCTGGACCAGGATTGCGGCGCCCGTGCCCAGGCCCCGGTTATCCCGCCGAGATCGGTCGCCGGCGGCGGCGGGGTGGGCCCCTCGGCCGATGAGCTCCTCCGCACCGCAGCCCAGCAGGCCCTCCGCCGGGCGGCGCTCCAATGCTCGCGGCCCTGCTTCGAGGCCTTCCGCGATGAGACCCGGTGCATTGTCCCCTCCAAGTACCCGCGCCTGTGTGGCGAGGCGCTGGCCGGATATGTTCGACACTGCATTCGCACGGCGCCAGCCTCCTACGCGGCCCTCCTGCCGTCGGACGATGCCGAGCTCAAATGCGACCGCATCGGCGGGTCGTACATGCGGGGCGGAGGGGACTGGCGCGGACGCCGGAGCGATGCCATGCACCGGGGGCCTTCTCGGCCAAATGCCGCCAGCCACCTCCCCCGGGCCAGCCCCCCGGCGGGGGCCGTCTACGCATCGCTGCTGGCCGTGTTGCTGGCGCTCATCGCCTTGGGCTGAGGGGAGACCCCCGGCTGCCGGGCCTGCAAAAGCCCGCAAGCGACTTCCCGTCCCCTGTACTGCCACACGACACCAAACAAATGCCATGGATGTATGCCGCCCCCCATTGGCCTGGTCCCGTCCCCCCCCGCACCCGTAGCTCGGTGTGAGACCGGGCCTCGAGAGAGGGGGGGCGGGCCGTCACCGAGGATGCATGCATGGGGGGTCAGTGTGGCCGCGAGAAGGGCAAAAACATGGAGGCGGAGGGTATCGATCCCCCTGCCTGCCGCATGCTAAGCGGCCGCTCTACCATTTGAGCTACGCCCCCTGTGACAACTCAACCCGGAGAAAGCCATTTATCTTCGTTCCCCACTCCAAAAATTCACACCCTCCCCTTGGATGCCCGGCCATTGGCGCGCTCATTCTTCCCGGCAGGGCATGCATGTCTGGAGCCCTGCTTCGGAGGGTTGCCGGCCGGATGTGGCCCTAGATGGCAATGCTGTTAACTGAGCACCTGGATATGGGATATTTGGATCAGGGTGTGCATGCGAGATATCACGGGCATGGGTGGCATTCCTGCGCCGCGGGTCGCCCCCTCGAAGGAGGGGGGGGGGGCCGGACAGTTGGGGCCGGGCGTGGGGCTGGTTTACATTGCCCCTTCCCGTGACGGCGTTCGGTATTCGCGCATGAGGCGCGGTCCTCTTACTCTCCGGCCGTTTTAGTGGGCATTCCCTCATCCTTCTCCCCCTGCCCAGCCTCCGGGGATGCCCCGTGCCCGGGGTCCATTTTTCTCCTTCCCCCCCCCCCCCCCCCCGGCGCCGGCCCCGGAGAGGAGGGCTGGCCTGGCCCCGGTGCAACAAGCTGGACGGACGGTGCGGGGCGGCGAAGCGCCGCGGCGGCGGGCACCCCGTGTGCTACCGGCCCTCGGGCTCCCCCTCCCGGGTCCCAACATGGGCTTGGCCGCCAGGGGATATGGGCGGGGCGGCCGGGTGCTTTCTCCTTGGGCGAGAGGCCGGCCCAGTGGCCGCGGAAACTGCCCATTTATTATTGCCACAATATTTCAGGACTCGGGCATGGACACCACCCCCCCGCCGACGGTCCGCTGTGAGGCCAGCCTGTATCATTTACATTGTGTCGTGGGTGGCAAAAATAGAGAACTTCATATCCGCCTCCCGGGAGGGCGCGTGCGCCCGGGGCCCCTTTGTTTATGGCCCTGGCCGAGAGAGCGCGCTTTCCGCGGGGGGCGTATCCGCAACAAAACCAGGCTCCCGCAGGGCTGCCCGCCAGCTTGTGTCTCCCCCGATGTCCCCCCCCCCCCCCCGTTTTCGTGCCTTTTGGAAGCAGCCGAAATGCGCCGGCCCGACGCCTGGGAGCACGCCGCCTCGGGCGGCGCGGACTGAGGGCGGGCGAGTGGGGGGTATATTAATTCGGTTCAAAGTACTTTCCACGAAGGGCCCAGCTGTTTCGCCGGGCCGGGGGGCTGCCTGCCCTTTGCGCGGGGTCTTTCCGGGGATCGTCCACGCTGGCGCGCATTGGGCCGCTCTTGCCTTCGGTCCCCATCCGGGTGGCGAGGGCCTACGCCGAGAGAAGCCGCCGAGAGTGGCCAACCCCAACAGCGGACCTCGCCTCTCCCGGCCAGCCGTGCTGCCATCCTATTAATCGGCTGATGGCTCGGTCGGCGGCGCTGTCCTCGCCTGCGGGGCGCTTCCTGTGCGTCTGGCCGCCCCCCCCCCCCCCCCGGGCAGCAGCCGCGGGGGCGGCATCCTTGGCGGCCGCGCACTCCTGCCCGCACGGCGCCCCTCCGGCCGGCAAGTCCGCGGCCCAATAGTGCCGGGCTCCATCCCCCGGCCCCGGCATGCTGGGGCGTCTGGGCGGTGCCTGCGGCCCCCATCACCCAAAAATCGGACCACCTCCGGCTCCGGTGTCTCGGCGCCCCCATGCCTTGTCCGTGGGTCCGGCCGGGGGGGGGGGGGCTGTTCGTTGTCCCAATGCGTCCCTCCCCCCGCCGGCCGCTCGGCGTGCGTACGTCGCACCTGGCGCCCCAGCCGGCCGTCCTCCCCCTGCGGCTGGAGCAGGGAACGAGGGCACCGGCGCCGGGCAGCTACCCATGGACCCCACCGCGGGCCCCATGTCCGGCCCCCCGCCCTCCTCCCCCGCCCCCCCCCCGACTGAAGGAGCTTCCCCTGATCAATGTTTCCCCGTCCTGGCCGGCCGGCCGGCCGGCCGCCCCGGCGAGGTGCGGGAGGGAGGGGTACCGAGCCGGGATGGACGCGCGGGGGTCTCTCATATGTCCCCCGGCTCCGCAGGGGCCGGTCGGCGGTTGGGGTCTCCCTTGCAGGGCCTGCCTGCTCGCCCCCTCTGCCGGGCGAGCGACTCCTTCGCGGGGGGGTCCCTGGTCCTGTGCTGCCTTCGTGCTGGGCACATTTCAGGGGTCGATCTCGGGCGCGCTTCCGCTTGGCCCGCGCAGGGAAGCGCCTCCACAGTCCTCGCCCTCCCCGCCGCTGCGTGTGACACATTCTCTCCTTCTCCCCCTCGCCCGCCCCCCTCGCCTCCCCTGCCTCCACCCCTGTTGCTGCCACACTCCACCATGTCCCAGGTGCGGCGGATCTTCTTTCACGTCTGGGGCCGCTATGCCGGCCTCGGCGCTGCTGGCTGTACGACCCACCTCCCCCTTGCCGGGGGGAGTTTCCCCGCCCAAGCGCCAGATCTCGCCATCCTCCGTGCCAGAGGCTGACAATGCTCGCCCTCCCCCTTGCTCTCGGACTGCCTCAACCCCCCCCCCCCCCCCGAGCGCCATGCATGTGTACCGGTGGCTTTGGATGCTCCGGCCGCAGTCTACATGGCCAATGGCATCTTCGGCATGTTCTATCCTCTCTGGCAGATCGCCGCATTCTGCATGTGCGGACCTGATGGCGTGGCACCGGTCTGCGGTCTCCCCTTTTTTTTGTTCATCCCCCCACTGACCTCTTCCTTGTGTTCATCAGCGCGGCCGGTGTCTTCACCGCCCTTCTGGAGTACCCCTTCCCTGGAGTGCAACACCTCGGCTTCTTCTCGCACAACCTCTTCGTCCGGGCAGCCATCTACTTCCTGTGCGTTCCTCCTCCTCCTCCTCCACTCTGGCCTGTTTCCTCCTGTGCCCATTCCCCCGGGGGTGTTCCGCCCTCCGCCTCGCAGGCCGCCACTCACATGCCTCGCTCCCGGGGTGTGTGCCTCGGCCACAGGTTCGCCGCCCCTGGCTTTGCCCTGGCCCCCACCTTTGCCGGGGCCCTCTTCATGCTCTCGGCTTCGGTAATCTACTTCTATTCGGCCTTCCGTGGCGAGGCGTGGACCCCTCCAGGCGGCCGGCCGGCCCTGCGTAGCGGCGCCGCCAAGGCCACTGCTGACCGGGAGTCGGCCGCCGGCAGCAGCAGCCGCCGGAGCCAGACCTCCGCGCCGAGCACGGCCGCCGCCACTCCGCAGTCCTCGGCGGCCGGCATGTCGCCGGATCTGCCATCCGTGGCCCTGAGCCCGTTGGACAAGGAGCCCACCGGGGTGGAGTATCGCGCGCGCACGGCCAGGATTGCCCCCCGCGTGGTGTCCATCGCCGGCGAGGTGTACACCATCACCATCCGCGGTCGCGACTACGAAGTCACCGGCGACGATTACGACACCGACTCCGGGACATACTACGTGTCGGCCCTGCAGCACTACTACGACCCGACGCGCGAGCAGATGTACAACCCGGTCACTTGCGAGTATTACGACCTCAACTAGTGGCCCCCGCCCTCCTTCTCTGCCAAGCTCCGGCTCCCTTGTTTCTCTCTCCCTCTCCCTCTCCCTCTCCCTATTTCCGTATGCGTCTCTCATGCAGCTGGCCTGCATATGTGCATATGAGGCTTGTCTTTTCTCCTCTTGCCCCGGCCCCGGCCCCGACCCCGGCCGCCCTCTCCCGCCTGTACTGCGTGAACGCGCTGGCAAAGTCTGCTCAGCGCCGGTGGCCGGAGTCGGGGGCGGCAAGCAAGCAAAGAGGGTGGCTGCGAGGGCCGACCTTGTGCGACCATCCTCCTCCTCCTCCTTTGAGTGCGTGTCTGTGCGCGCCATGGCGGTACATCGCGTGCCGCGCGCCGGGCGCGGGTGGGGTTTTGCCCGGCCCCCCTCCCTCCCCCTCCCCCCCCCCCCCCGCGAATATACATCTAGAGGCCGCAGTGTGCGCGCAGCACGGGACACGCCATGTCCCTCCTCTCCTCACTTCAGTCCTCTTCTGTCCTCCCACCAGTCGGGGGATCCCCGTGCATGTGTGCGCGCGCATTTTGGGGGAGGGGCCCCAAGCCCCAGGGAGAGAGGTGAGGAAAGACAAGAGATCAGGTCTATTTGGGAGGGGGATAGTGCACAAGGAACAGAGAGGGGAAAAGGGGGAAGGCGTGGGCACGCAGGGTGGAAACACTGGACACGCCTGCGGGCCCTGCCCATGACGCCTGCCTCCCCATTCCCCCCCGCGTTCCGGCCCAGGAGGAGGGGAGTCACACGCCAACAAGGGAGTGCACATTTCAGGCGCGCAAGCCCCGGAGAGAGGCATGCGCGCGCATGAACTTGCGCCCAAGGGGGAAGGGGAGGAGCAGGGAGGAGGGCGAGGGGACAGGCGCTGCAGGCAGGGGGGGGGGAGGAAGAGGAGACGTGAGCGCATGCGCACTCAGGCACATGCGGATTAGTCCTCGTCCCAGTTGCCGTTCTCGCGGGGCTTGGGACCGCCGGCCGGCTTGCTCATGATGATCTGGTCAACCTTGAGCACGGTCATGGCCACATCGGCGGCATACTTGATGGCCCAGTACTTGCTGGAGAAGGTGTCGAAGATGTTGGCAGCGGTGGCATCCAGGAGGGAGGCATCCTCGGTCTCGATGTCCACACCGGCGGAGGACTCGCCCTTGCGGTGGGCGGCGCCGAGCTTGGCCAGGATGACGGTGGCCTAGGAGCGCGGCGGGCACAGGACGGGAGGCAGCACAAGAGGGGCGGGCGGGCGGGCGGGCAGGCGAGTTAGAGCGTGGCGCAGGGTCAATGAAAGGGGTCGGAGGAAGGCAGGGGAGCGGGAGGGGCGGCACGCGGTGCTGGCCGGGAAGGACGCACATCCAGACCGGCATTGTCGGCCAGGGTGCGGGGGATGACCTCGAAGGCCTCGGCGAACTGCTTGACACCGTACTGCTCGACACCGGGGATGGTGTCGCCCAGCTCGCCCAGCAGGCGGGACAGCTCCATCTCGGTGGCACCGGCACCAGGGAGGAGGCGCGGGTCGCGAACGATGGTCCGGAAGGTGTTGATGGCGTCGTTGAGGGAGCGCTCGACATCGTCCATGTAGTTGCGGGTGGAGCCACGAATGACGATGGTGGACAGGGCGGAGCCCGAGTCGTTCTGGCGGAAGACAGTCACGCGGTCGGAGCCGATCTCGATGGTCTCGACGACATCGCAGTGGCCAGCCTCATCGACAGTGGGGGCACCCTGGGGCGGGGGGAGGGGCGCAGACGAAAGAGAGGGCGAGGCCAGGCGAGTCAGCGAAGGGGTCCCTCCCGCGAGCGGAGCACACAGCGCGATGGCAGACAGGCAGGAAGGCGGCACAGCGAAGCGGGGGGGCCCCCGCTGATCCGCGCGGAGAGGGAGAAAAAGAAAAGAAAAAAGAGGGCGCGCACCAGGCGGGACAGGGCCACCGCGCCGACGGAGCGGCACAGGCGGCGCAGGTCGAACTTGGACAGAACCTTGACGGCGATCAGGTTGTACCGGTTGATGTAGTGCAGGGCGAGCTCGCCGATGCTGGACCCGGTGACCAGGACCTTGATGCCGGCGTCGGCGATCTCCTTGATGGCGCCCTCCAGCTGGGCCTCCTCGTCGCGGGAGAACTTCATCAGATCCTCCGAGTTGTGGATCAGCACGGTGCCCTTGGTCTCGGTGCGGGAGATGTCCAGCGGGCAGGTGAACACGGCAACCTTGGCATTGGTGGCCTTCTTGATGGTGCTATCCGGCTGGCGGTCGATGACCATGCCGCGAACGAAGGTGCTGTTGTTCAGCGAGCTGCCCATGATCTTGATGGTGCGGACATTGTCCACGTTGAAGTTGGCCGGGACCTTGGGGAGGACCGCCATGCAGGCGTCCACAACAAGGGCGCTGAGGAAGTCCTCGTTGCCATACTGGAATGCGCGCGGGCGGCGTCGCCAGGACCAGGCACATCGGGCGGGCGGGCGGGCGGGCGGACGGACGGGGAGTGCTTGTGGTTAGCATATGGGAGCCGCGGCTGGACCACTGGCTTCTCTCACCGGGAGGCCCCCGGGGCGTATGTGTGGATGGGGAGGGCCGAGGGGGACCGGGCTGTCATACCTGCTTGCTGCTGATGGAGGACTTAACGGCGGCGATCAGGCCATCGCGATCGGTGACATCGATGTCCTTCTTGACAACGAGGGCTGGACGTTGAGTTTGGAGCAGGGCCGGTCGCCGCAGGGGGGAAGATCATTGTCAGCCAGGGAGGCGCGCAAGGGGGCAGACCATGGAGGCGTGGGAGGCCCCCGCGATGGCCGAGGGGAGACGGCGGGTAGGGGCGAAAGAGGGAGCGGGGCACGCACTCTCCAGCAGCTCGAGCGCCTTCTTGGAGGCACGGCTGTAGGCCTCGGTGATGTCGGTGGCATGGAGGCCCATGCGGAGGAGCTCGTCGGCCTGGTTGAGGAACTCGCCGGCCAGGACGCACACCAGGTTGGAGCCATCGCCAACCTCCTTGCGCTGCTGCTCGGTGGCCATGACGATCAGCTTGGCAGCCGGGTGGATGACGTCCATCTCCTGAATGATGGTGGCGGCGTCGTTGGTGATGAACAGCTTCTCGAGGTTGTTGACAATCAGCTTGTTCTTGCCTGTGTGTGTGTGCATGTGCGTGCGGGTGGTTGGAATTTCCAGCAATGTAGACAGAGGGGGAGGACAGCGTCAGTTCCTGCGGCGACAGGCGTGCGGAGGGCCGAGGCAGGGAGCAGAGGGCAGGCAAGAGGCCACGGACCGTTGGGACCGAGAGAGGTGCGGGTAACGGCAGAAAGCTCACGGCAAGCGCGGATGTTGCGCAGGACGGCCTCCTCAAGGCCCTGGTGGTGCTGTGAGGAGGGGGCGGGGCAGATGCAGGTCAGCAACACGCGAGAAGCACAGGCAAGAGGGGCGAAGCAAGCCGGCAGGCTCGCGCACCTTGTAGCCATCCTTGAGGAGCTCGGACAGGCCGGACTTGGGGATACGCATCGCCATCTTGGAGGTGGGGTCGAGGGGGAGGGGGGGGGCAGATCACCGACCGGCGAGGAGTGAATCAGGCGGCGAAAGGGGGAGGGAGGAGGAGGAGGGGGGGGAGAAAGTGGCAGCAGGCACAGGGGGGCGTGGCAAGCGGCGTCTTTGACTTGGGCGCACGGGGCAGCGACGCGCTCATTGGGCTGGGGGCCGATAAAACGCCCGCCCCCGCAGCCCGCCCCGCCCCGGGCGGCCAGGCGGGTGGTGCATTCAGGGCAAGACCGGGGGAACGGCAACAGGGGCGGAAGCAGCAGGAGCAGCCAACCGCGAAGAGCGATCACAGGGCTCCCTCGGGGAGAGGCCTGTTTGGCCAAAGGCCATCCCCCCCCCCCCCCTGTCGTTGTCCGCCCCCGCCTCTCCGAGAGGCCGCCGGCAATGGGTGCGGATCTACACCAATCCGCATGGGGCCGCCACACGCGTCGGGGAAAATAACCGCACGCAGACAAAAGCAGGGCAAGGCCCCGCCCGGGGGGGGGGGGGGGGGCACACACAGACACACGACAAACACGCGCGCGCTCGCGCGCAAGTAGAACCGAACAGGTAGCCGGAGACCAAGGGTAAGGGCCCCGGGGTCTCCATTTATCCAGGGGGGGGGGCGGGGCGGGGGCAAGCATGCCCCAGTAATATGCATCTAGGTCTTTCCATTTGGGCGGCTCATGCCGACCAGGGCGTCGGCACATTCCTTTCTCGCGGGCCCGCTCCATCAGCATATTGCACGTCCAGGCCCCCCAGGCCCCGCCCGGCCTTCCGGCGGGCCGGAATCCCCCGCCTTCGGGCACCAGGTCCCGGCGCACGAAACAACGATGCCGGAAGGCTGGGATGCCTGGTACGGGGGGGGGGGGGGAAGGGACATGCAGGGGGAAGGCCGCTGCATTTTGGGCTTGGCCGAGCGGAGGGAGGGGCGCGCGGCCGGTTAGAAAACAACCTACCCCCCCCCCCCCCCTGGGCGCAAGCTGTTGCGGACTGGCCGTTCCTTCCCTCTTTCAGTATCCGGCCAGGGCCGGCACCGGCTCCTCCCCGCCCCCCGAAACAAGGGCGGCCGGGGGGACGGTGCTGCTGCCCCGGTGCCAGAATAGCCCAGACGAATACCCTAACAATCTACAAAACAAGAACAACGTGCGCGCCCGCCGCATAACACCATTCTATGCTACAATTCGCGGATCCGCCCCCGTGCGTGCTCCTCCGGGCTGTCCCAGGCAAGCTACCGGGGGGGGGGGCGCCCCGGCAATGGAGTCACCAAACAAAAGGTGCGGGACGCCGGTCGTGTTGATTGATTGGCCGGAGCGGCCCCGGCGAACCGATGGCCTCCTGCCTTCTGTGGAGGCCCGATGGTTGCCTGCCTCGTGTGCTCTGTCCTTTCCTGAGGCTTCGGGTGTCCGCCCGCGAGATGGCTGGCGGCCCCCTCTCCAGCGGCCTCGGATAAGATGGAAGAGAAAGGGCCATCCCGACCGCGAGCGCCTGCCAGTGTCTCATCACCAACGTGGCATCGCCTCTCCTCCTCCCCTCCTGTTCGCGCCCCCCTCCGCCCCACCCTCCCCCTCCCTCTCTCCCTCCCTCTCTCGCTTGTTCTCGCCCCCTCTCCCGCTTGTTCTCGCCCCCTCTCCCATCCTCCTCCTCCTCCGCTTTGCATCCCCTTTGCACCCGCCTCCTCTGCGCCGACCTGGCGTCCTCATTTGTGGCACCCCCCATCACCCTCCTCCTGACCTCGGCCTGCCCTCTTGCTCTTCCCCTCGACGGTGATCTTCTCATGCGCGCACACGCTCCTTGCAGGCCCGCCCCACCATCCCCCCCCCCCCTGAGCGCCGATCCCGCCCCCCTCCGTGACAAGAATGCTGTACGGGGTCGCCCCTTTGCGGCGTGTTGACTCTGCCACTCCTTGTGCCTGTGTTCCGGGCTCCTCACTGACCTCGCCTCCTGGGGGTTTCCCCCCCCTCCACCCCTCTCCCCCCCCCTCTATTGGTCAAAGCTCCCGCGTGGTCCCGATGGCCTCCCGCTTCGGCGGTGTCGCCGCCCGGCAGTTTTCTCGCACCGCCGTTCCGGCCGTCTCGCAACGGTCCGGCGGTGCTGGCCATCCCTCCTCCTCGGATTCGGACTACGACTTCTTCCGGCAGTTGAACAATCCCCACCGCACGAATGACTCCTTCTCCAACAAGAAGGGCGCGGCCCTGGGGTCCGACTTGGATTTCGAGTCCAGCGACACCGACCAGCTGTTCTATGGCCAGAGCAACCTGAACGACTTCTCCAAGTACATGTATGACTCCGAGGTGCCGGTCTTCTCGGCCACTTCGCCGACCTCCGCCTCGACTCCCTGTATGTCCTTCCCCTGTCTCTCCTTGTTTGTCGCCTTTGTCCCCGGTCGGGCTGGGGCCCATGCGCATGCCATATGTGCATACTGACCTCGCCCCTCTCGCCGCGCTCCCGCTCAGCCTTCTCCGACATCATCTCCCAGGTGAACCGCATGAACCTGTCCTACAGCAACGACACCATGAACATCCCGGCAGAGGATATCACCGAGGCCATCGAGGTCGCCCTGCGGGCAGAGGAGGAGATCAACAAGACCAGCCTTTACGACTCGCGTCTCAGTGCCCCGCCCTCGATCGACCCGAACACCGTGCGTTGTTGTGCACCCATGGGGGGCTGCTGCTTCCTGCTTCCTCGCTGGCGCGCCTTCCCGATCGCCACCCGGGTTTTCTGACTCTCTCCATGCCCTGGTCCTCCCCGCCGCCGCCGCCGCTGCCAGTATGTGGACGGCCTGTCGCCGCTCCAGTTCCAGGGCCTCTCCTCCGACGTGCGCAAGATCTTCTCCCTGGCCAATGCCTCGCAGGCGGAGATCAACAAGTTCAACATCCGCCGGTCGATGGATGCCATGCGCCGCTCGCCCGTGGACAGCGGCTCTCCCGAGGCTCAGAGTACGCCATCTTCCGCTCGCGCGCGCACCCATGCTTCGACTCTACTCTCTCTCTCTCTCTCCCCCCCCCCCCCCCCCCCCCCCCCCCCCCCCCCCC